CCCCTCGCTGTCCCGGCTGCGGTCGGGGCTGTGCCGAGCGCTCCTTGCAGCCAGGAGCGGAGCAGGGGGACCTGCGAGAGCCCCATCCAGGGGCTCCAACCCAGCGCAGGACGTGGGGGAGCCGCCGGAGCTCACGGGGTGAGGGGGGCAGCAGCTCCTCTTGGCCTCAGCTGGTTTTCACCAGTGCTCCCTGCGGGTTAGGTCACCACAGGCAAAAAGTTTAAAGGGAAAAAGCCCAAAGCTCAGCGCTCCCTTTGGAGAAGGGACCAAGCTGGGAAACCTTCACTCTGAGGGGGGAAGGTCTGAAGGGCCTCAAGCACGGAGCAAGGACGACCTGGCCGTCCGCACCCCAGGTGGGCCACAATGGCTCTGGACCGTCCCAAAGGTCTTCCTTCCCATTAACGTGGAAGCACCACGTCCCCACACACGCCCCGCTCGCCCTAAGTCCCTCTCCATTAACTTTTCACATGTGTTGGCGGGACCGGAGCGGTGCCATTATCTAATTGCGAATGCGGCTGCTCATACCCGCACCTGGGCACACAGGCAGGATTAGGGGTTTATCTGCCCGGTACGCGAAGGTGCCACCGTAAGCCCTGATGCAGTAAGCCAGTGCTGAGGCCAGCAGCTGCTGCGCAGAGCTTAGGGCCCCGCGTGCGTCACTGCGGAGCAGCGCAGCAGGACGGGTGAGCAGGAGTGGGGCAGAACAGGGCAAAGGGAGGAACGCTGCTGGTCAACCACTCACAACGGTTTCAGAGCGAAGCGTGGTGGTGGGACTTCTTGTATGTCCAGGAAGTCTGCATCATGAAGGTACCCAAGAGTTTCAGTGGCACGGGGCAGTCTGGAACCAGAACATCTTCACCATGTACGGGATGTGTCGAGGATGGCTTTGCCCCAAAAAGCCCAATACACTTTTCAAACCCAGCCTGTACTCACAGAGTTGTTTAGAAAAAGAAAGAAGCGTCTTTGCTTGATCCGTTTTGTCTCTGTGTCATGGCAAACCCTATCTGTTTATTGTTATAATTCTTCATTCCCACCAGCTCTGCAAAGCCAGCTCGGTTCCAGGAGAAGGAGCCGGATCCTCTCCTGGCTCACAGCTCCAGCAGCATTGTTTATCCCTGTCAATTGTAAAGTCTTCATTGCAAACAGTGACAGATGAGTCAAAAAGCAGATGAGCAGTAATTAGAACAGAATGTTTTTGAAATGGTAAATTAAGCAAACTTGGTCAGGAACCATTGAGGGACTCGGAAAGCCCACGGTGCCATTGCAGAGTGTCACTTCCAGGAGGCACTCAGGCAGACACAGCGACATCCCCAGTTCCAGGTGCAAGGTGCTGGTTACGCGGTCGCTGCTTTACCAGCCCCCAGCAACCTCAGCCAGTGGCATCAGACAGCGAATGCCGTTTCCCACTCAAAACAAAGGGAGGCTGTGACAGATGGGATGTCACAACAATAGAGCTCATGGCAACATGGGCACAATTTGTATTGGAGTGAAGTCAAGAGCTCTCTTGCTTCCCAGCTCAAACCCAGCCCTGCCAGTTACCTACACACATTGTCCTGCTGTCAGAGAACGACTCAGTGACCGTCCCCAGGAGAGCCACCTGCCTGGGAGCATGACGTTGGGCTGGGATGGGCTGGGAGTTAACGTTCCTCGTAGCAGCCATGGGTGCTGTGTGTTGGATCTGCGTCTAAACCAGGGCTGGTGACGCACCAGGGCCGTAGCTATGGCTGAGCAGTGCCTGCACAGCACCCAGGGTTTCTTTTTCCCCCCCGTTTCCCCCAACAATAGACCGGAGCTGGGCAGAGGACAGAACTGGCCAAAGCGGTGCTTCACACCAGATGCTGCTGTGCTCAGAAAGAAAAGCTGAGGGAAAGGAGGAAGGAGGAGGATGTTGTGTTTACGGCGTTTCCCTTCCCGAGTAACCATTACTCATGCCGAGGCCCTGCTCTCCAGGAAGCAGGGTGGACATCTGCCTGCCACGGGGAAGCAGCGAATAAATTCCTTATTGCTTTGTTTGCACGCACAGCTTTGCTTCACTTACTGCCTTTATCTCAACCCAGGAGCTTTTTTGCTTTTGCTCTTCTGATTTTCTCCCCAGTCCTGCGGGGAGGGGGGTGGAGTGAGAAAACTGCTGGATGGGGGCTGAGTTTCTGCCTGGGACTGACCCACCACGTTTGCTCGAGCAGCTGCATCATTACAATCCCCTCAGGCTCAGCAAGAGGCTGAAGCAGAAGGCAGCAGGTCCACTTCCTCTCACCTCTACCCTGCGCACAGCCCTGGACTGAAGCAACGCTGGAGAAGCAGCTCAGAAAGACCCCATCGGCACACCACTGCTGGTCAGCAGGACGGCCAAGGGATCTGCGCGAGCTCAGGTGGGCACGTGCACCCCAGAAGGTACGCTCAGGTCACAAACGCCGCAAGGACTGACAGATGCCAGGAGTCTCACGAGACAGTGAAGAACCCTCCTGTCTTGGGTACAGAGGAGGGGCTGTGGGGAGCCCCTCAGCCGCTGCAGTGTTCCTGCCTGGCACCCTGCGGTATTTATATGCGTGCAAATACACCCAGTCCAGCCCCTGGGGCCAGCAGTGGTTCTTTCGTTAGCGGCAAACGCGCTGATGTTACTCGGGTTAGACATGGGGCAGGGGGCAGGTGAGGTGCTCGTGTCTGGGTAGCCGGGTAACATGAAACACCTACCGCCACGCAGAACCTGGCATTCTGCATTTTAGCAAGGGTGAATTCTACCCCCTCCTCCTCCTCTCAGTGTGGCTCTGAGATGGCCCCTCGATGCCAGGATCAGTGTAACTCTTAAGATCACACCTCAAGAGCTCTAAACTCTAATGCTGCTCCTGCCTAAATGGAATAGGAAAAAAACAATTTCAAGCTCAGACAAAGCAGCATTATAGAAAATTCAGAGACAGAGTAGTGAAAAATAGTCCTGTTTATTTGAAGATCTGTCAATAACAGGTACATATGAAGGAGTAAATCAAGTTCTAACATAAGTTAAGAGCTAAGAGATTACTTCAAGGCTGAACTTGACCCTAGAAACATTCCTGTAAAAACCTGTGGCACTTCAGCTGCTTGCCTGGGAAATGTAGAGGACATTCACAAAACTCAGACATTTTCATTTAAAAAAAAAAAAAAAAAAAGTTAAATTTCTTCAACTCAGTTCCGCTCTTACATACCAAATGGAACAAGAAGACTTAACTAAGTTGTTAGGAAAACTCTATGAATCTAAGAGGTGTTTTGCCAAGCCAAGAGGGAAGTCTGTCAGTTGAGGTATAAGATTGTTTTTCTTCATTGGTTTGACTCATCTATTCTCCGTCGACAGAACGGACAGCAATTATGCTGGAGTACGAGCAGCTCATAGTCTTCTGTGTGAAACATCTGTTAATTGGGAACAGATTTAGGGACAAGTTAGCCTGTGACTAGCTCAAAGAAAATGCAAACTGAGCTCAACAGCTTCTCTGAGGCAGGGAATTCTGAAGCTACCATTACAAGAGAACTGGTCCTCTTACTTCCAATTGCCTGAGAGCTGTAACCTGGAACACAACTGCAAGCATTTCACAGACCACCGCCAATGTTGCTGAAGAGGCACAAATCAATTAATTACTTTTGCAGAAGGACAAAAATTAGATAGTTTCTGTGTAAGCAAATGACTGAATTCCCATTTTTCAGAAAGCCATTCCTGAGAGGGGAAGGAGAGGGACTGAACCACAAGCTAACTTAGTTACTGACTGATTTTCCCTGCTAGACCCAGCTGAAAGTCAGAGACAGAGCAAAAAGAAATAAATACCAATCAGCATTTGCTGTTCAGCCAAGGCTTGCTCGAGAGGCTCTGACTTGCTGTCAGTGCAACTTCTCAGATTCAGCGACCTCAAAGTTTTCAGAAGGCAGCTACTCCTCTGTGCATCACACAGCTTAGTTTTTGGTTTTCATTGCCTTCTCCGTCTCTACATCATTCAGGAATTCGTTGAAGACTTTTTGAAGTATGAGGTTTCAATGGTTAGAATTTTTTCAGCGATAGGGTTCTCAGCAGGGATTTTTGGGTTTCTTTTAAACCTCTCCAAGAAAACACTACCTGAAAACATGACGGACACATGGTAATGGAGGCGTCTGGTAGCAGGGAACGGTAGTACTGCCAGCGCAGTGGCTTCGGCCAGCGTTTAATCAGGACGTCCCTCCGGCTCATTGACTGGAGAACAGCACGATTCACAATCACTGGAACAAACTCTGAGCCTCCTTGCTGCAGGAGAGCGGGTTTAGAAAGAATTAGTTACCAACCGCAAAGCCCTTTGAGGATTAGTAAGATCTTGGAAGCAGCAAATAAAATTCAGGAGAAAAAGCTAATATAGAATTGGCCTGAGTCAGGTCCCACCAAACTCACTCCGTTTTATCAACACCTTCAGCAACAGCAGCATCCAGCCACATCTCTCACTTGGTCTCAGTGAGCTTCCATTATTCATTTTAACACAGTTCCTTGTAAAGAACACCCATGCCCACAGTCTTTATTAAAACCTCACAGTAACAGCTGTTTTGTAGGTGTCCTACCTCGGTACAGTAATACCCTGCGGTACAGCCCTGCTGTACCACTGTATGATGATAAAAACAAATTCCAGGAATGTTTATTTTACAATCTTTCTTGTTTTGTGGTTTTTGAGTTTGGTGGTTTTTTGTTTTGTTGGTTGGTTTTTTGTTTTTTTTTTTAAAGAGGAATTAACTGGTAAATCCCTTTCTCAAGTTCCATCCCTCTCCTCCACTCCCCCGTTTTGCATCTCCCTTGTGACAGTCTCTGTAACACATTCATACCAGAAGATACAGGTAAGGCTCTCACCTCAAAGCTCAGTTTTGCTGTAAAGGGATCATCCTCTTCAATAACATCCGTAGTGTCATCGAGCTTCAAACTCTGTGCATCTAGATGTGTTTCTTAAGGAAGAAAAAGAGTTCCTATAAAATTAGCTGTCCTCACAGCAGCTAGCACTCCCAGAATAAACATGAAAGCGTACCAGCAGGACTGGTGTCCTTGTTGCTCCAGAGGGTCAGAGTATTCTCAAAGTGCTACAGCGCTTAGATTACTATGGAAAGTACCAGAGAAGATTCACAGTGATGGGGGAAATTCAGCATTGCAGCTGCTGTAGAATGGCAAATCTGACCACAACCAAGTGTGACATCAGCTCTGCCTTCCCTCTGCCCCCTTCTGACAGATGACAAAACACAAATCAAGCAACCCATTTAAATTACATTTCTGAGCAGCTTTAGTCAGAGACTGTGTTTTCTTTTGCATTACTGTGCACCTAATGTTACATAGCCCCCACAGCAACTGGATGCCAAAGCATCACAGAACAGATTCCAGCAGGAAAAAAAAAAGTCCATGCTGGTTTCCCTTGGCTAAGAGAAGGCAGCTCTAAAGCAAGCTGTCATTGGAAGTGAGTAGCACACTGCAGATTCTCCCCATTCTTTACAGAAAGCAGTTAGAACAGAAGAGGTAAAGCATGACAATTGATTGTGTTACGGTTTTGACACATTGCTAAAAGAAGTATTTCATGTGATTGAAACAAATTGTCCTGATGAAAAAGCCTTATGAAAACACTGGGTTTCGTTAAAACATCACTTTGGTTGTTACGCTAACTTGAAAAGGAAACACGATGCAGTTGTACTCACATCAGTCATATGACAAAAAGAAAATGTTAAACCTAAGGGGAAAAAAAAATACTTCAAAACTGTTGCTTTTTTCCCCCCTAAGGAAAGGACCAGAAACCAATTTTAATCAAAAGGATACGGTCACTCATCACCTCTTGCCATTTACTCGCTCTTCTGTTCGATCTTGGAGCTTCAAGATCAATGAGAGCTATGGCTTCTTCGTCTGTGATGCCGTCTTCCAAATAGAACTCGACCAGATGCAGAACTTCTAACGGGGGGTGAAAAGCAAGGAGCGTGTGACCTGCAAGAACTCAGAAAATGCCTCCTAGAGGGTACGGTGCCCCTTGTGAAATGAACACCCTCTGGCTTCTACGAAGGTGGTGATCTGCCCACGTGTTCTCATGAAGAAGTTTAGATAAAATTAAAACAAACCCAAAACCCCCCACCTTCTCACAGGATTGATCTGTGTTAATGAAACACTTCACACACCCAGCGTCTCACAATACAGCAATGCTTCACTGCTGCTGCTGGCGCGCAGGGAAACCCAGCAGTCCCTGGGACAACAGGCAGCCGCTCAGCCAAATCTAACAGCACTGAAAGGAAAGATTTGTTTGTCCAAATAACGTTGCAGAGAGAACAAGTAAGTACTAACCTACGCTGTTCAGTTAACATTTATCTACTTAAAAAGCACAACTGAATGCGACATTCCAACGCACCATAGGAGGAAGCAGAGAAGACGAAAGGTTGCCTGCAGTTAATGCAGATGTTCCCCAGGTTATTTAGCAAAGGGTTGTTGGTAGAGCACCTATAACACAAGGGCACAAGCTCCTGCAAAGACACATACAGAGCACAGTAATTGTAAACAGATCAGCACATCCTGGACTCTTTGATTTCAATAAAATATGGGCTCCTCAGGTTTACACCACTGATATTACATCAGCGCTAAGTCTGGAGAAATACTGCTGTGAAATCAGATCCTTTAACATCTGAAAATGCTTTCCCTTTTTAATAGAACAGCAAGTTTTCACGTTAAAAATAGCTGTCTTCACCATCCTAACAATTAAATTTTCACCTTGCCTTTGCAGAAACAGAAGCAGAATTCTGCATCAAATGCATAGTGACAAAAGAAGTCGCAGAGAAGCTTACCAAAGCAAAGTTTTTTGCTCTAAGGCTTCGTCAAATTTAAGTTCTCCAATTAATTCATCTCCCTTCAAGAACACAGTTATTTTAGGCAGTTCTTAAGATTGTCTTTCTATTATTTCAGGTGGCCAAGTGCATGTTCACTTGCACAATACCATTTATTTTTAGCGAGTACTCCATGAGACATGGCTTTATAGAACACTGCAGAAAGTCAGACTTCAGTTAAAGAAGAAAAGGTGTTAAAATAAGACTTAAGGAAGGAAGGTCATTCAAGGAATAGGGGGAGGAGGGGAGGAGTGCTAGAGTGGGACAAATACAAGTGACCTCCAGCTGGAGAGAGAGACAAAGACTGTGGAGTAATTGCATGTGGATCGGAGAGAAAAGGCTTGAAAGAATTAATAGGCAGAGAGGAAGGTAGACGCAAGACAGGAGAGGGAGGATGGAAGCTGCCCATAAAAAAGGACTGATTTTAATTTGTTCGCAGGAAGAAAAGGAAGTCTGACCTGAAGAACAGCAATAAAAGGACTGTGTTTCCAGCAGAAGCATACCGCAGAGCTATGCATAATGTATTTCAGATTTTTTTGTGCATACAGCAACTCAGCTTCTTGGATTCGGCCACATATTAATGATTAACATGAAACACATTACAACTTACTTCACTGTCATGGAATGGCTTGGACCGGATTGTCAGGCTGCCCAGCTCAATCGATTTCTGGAACCTAGCTGGGATCTGCAGTCCCTGTAACTTGTCATAGGCGTGGCGAGCCAGTTTATATGCACCAAGAGCTTTACTCTGTTTTGCCAGGGCAAATAACGTATTGCTATAGTTTAATTAAGGAATGAAAATACACATGGTGTTTAGGACAAACTGCAATACTCTTCCTAATCAGAGAAGCTGTGCAATGAAGCATATCCAACACCAGTACTCTAAACAGGCTTCAACAAGAGAAATCTATTTACACAACTGCATTTAAAAACAAGTGTGAAAGAACTATCAAAACGTCTATGGGCAATTACGAGCACGGTAAGGAACTGACCCCACAGACATTGCCTTGGTTCAATGTTCTGATGCCATTCACAACATTCCAGTAATTTCAGCGTGAATGGATTTTTCCCCAGCCAAAAAAACCCCAAAAACCTTGCAACACCAGCAACCCACAGACACCAAGTGAACACACACGACCTTATGGAAGTAAAGCACATGCTCGGTGTCACTGTCCAAGGCTTGTCCTTCCCTTTCACCAGAGTACAGCGGTGACTGCTGTTTAGAAAGCTTCTGGTCACAAGGCATGTTATGAAAGCTCATACATTTGTAAGTGAGGAACTTACGAAAAGGAAAGCTAACATCCCATCCAAAGCCATAAATGAAGTGAAACCAAGAAAACCCTGCAGCATCTGGCGACCCTTCCTGTTATCTTCTACAGACAGGTGCATTTCCGCAGGGTTCTCACAGGCCGTTCACAAAGCGCTCTCCAAAGCTGCAATATGCGCTAACAAAGCTGTACAACGTTAGCCTGCCAGGCGCTGCACAGCCATACCAGCCTCATGTGAAGTGAAACTCCTGGTTCCCCCCCTCCTGTCTCAGATCACTCTCCTTGTGACAACGCTGTCAAGATCCACAGCCAATATCCTGCTGCTGTGACTGGTATCCTAGAACCTGCTTCTCTGACAAAGGTGACACACCAGACTGGGTGGGTGGTTTGCACAATTACACTTTAGTTCATTTGTACAGCTCACCAAAACTATTAAACAAACAAACAAAAAACAGCAGCACAGTTAAACACACAGTCGTTTAAAGATACTGATTATTTCCTTAGGGACAAGAGTCAGTTTCCATTAACTATAACCAACAGCTGAAACTGAAGACAGCCTACAGGAGATCTCTCCATTGTGGATCAACGGCAATTATTCCTTTCATGTATCTCACAAGATAACTTTTAGATTTTGTACTGTATTGGAAGGATACACTTTTGAGATCCCCAAAGGAGTCTCCTTTGTTAAGCTGTGAAGCAGAAACCTGGAAATATTGAAGAGGGTTTCAGGCAAGTGGAAACTGAAAGGCTCCTCCTGCAGTATTAAAAATACAGACACAGATTTCCAAGCTGGAAAATCAACAACTCGTGTCAGTAAGCATCACAGCACTAGGCATCTCAAGTACTGCGTTTCTTTCATGCAGTTGCAAAAAGAAGAGGTGCTGACAGAATATAGCAAGTGGGTTTTGCAAGTCTTTATCACCAAAGCTCATGCCTGCTACATGCAGAAAAAAGGAGAAAGAGATCCATGTAGCTAAAACAGAATCTTTAGCAGGCTTTTTAAAAATGAGGGTGGACTGGCCAGCAAGAGGCTCCACCGCTGTAAGGTCTGAAGTAGTCTCACCAGCAAAGACCTCCATAGCAGTGTCTTCTTTTGGGCAAGGGCATAGGTCAAAGCTTCTCAAATGTTTTACAAAAGATATTTTCACCAGCAGTGGTGGCAACGTTACTATAATTGCTGGAAGCAGCAGGAGCTCCTCACTCCTGACTGCTTATCGTTTTGGAGTGGTTTACACCCATCACCACTGACACACCCACCACGCTGGGGGAATCCCTAAGCTAGGGAGCCTTCTTCTACTGAATCTCATCGTCCCGTGATTAAAGGAGAAGCTGACCGTAGCCTGTGTAGGACCAGAGGCTCAGGTCAGGTGGAACCAAACCCACACAAGTGGCAAGAAAGCGCTGGGAGTGGGAAGTCAGCCACCATCATATCTTCTACCCACACTCAGACAAGCACAGATCTGCTACAACTGCACTGCGCTTTTGGGAACTAGACAACAGAACTTCTTGTACAGAACACAGCAGAAAGCAGAGAAATAAAGTTATTATACAGGTATCACTAATCTACACTCAATATTTAATTGCCTGAAAAGTCATTAATTATTCCTAGTTATTTCTGGACTCCCTAAAGAAAAGTACTCAGGAAGCATAAATACACAACTTGTAAAGTGAATATCTTACAGTGTATCTTTGAATAAAGTGATAGACATGGTAAACTTCTGCCAAATGCTGGAAGCGGTGAAACTTCTGTAACATTTCAGTCTTCTGTTGTTCATTCTCTGCAGGAGGCAAAGGCATTAGTATAAGTCTCCAAGATAAGTCTATAAGACTCAGATGGAAGAAAACAGCATATTATGATTTTAGTGCCACCACTTCCAAAAGAGGCATCTACCAGTTCAAGTGTGTCCCGCCTACCTGTGCAAAACACAAATTACAGACTTGCCATTTTTGGTACAAAACAAGCAAGGTAAAACACAAAACAGCTGAGGCAATGGTTTTAACATAGCTAGAGGCTATACCTTAGTTAAAGGTAGAAAATAGTATGTGTGCATCACTGGAAACCTCATCTGTAACTTCACAGTTTACAAATAAAATTAGTTTTGAAACATCTGTTTCATAAATATTAAATACACTACTAAGCCAGCTGGAAAAATTTGCATCTCTATAAAATACCTGAGGGGTAACCGATCAGCGCTATCATACATCAGCTGAATTAAAAAAAAAGGTGCTTATAGCACCAGGCAAAACGCAGTACGATCAATCTTTTGCATTAATTATTACTAAATTACACCTATTAACTACTGGCTCCACCTCTCTCCCAGTGAAATACATTCAGAATACAAGATGATAACTAACAAACAATCAGTTTTATCTGTGATGGCAGCAATAATCTGTAAAGTACCTCTCCAACCTACGTTCAAGTACTAGATGTATCTTACACTCCAAGATCATCTTTTATTTACTAGTACATTAACCCTCCAATCACTTCTGTAGTTACAGTGGGTTGTGGGAAGCTGCACGAGGATACATGGTCCCAGGAGGCACGATTTTGATTCCAGTCAGATTTCAAAAGGAGGCCTATGCATGCTGACCTTGCTGTTTTGCTTATTTGTTTTAAATAAGCACATGGGAAAACCAGGGGGACTACAAAAATAGCACAGGCCAGAATTATGCACAGCATTAAAAAAAAAAAAAACCAAAAAACCCAACACCCAAACAAAGCCAAAGCCACACAACAGTGAAGTGGCTACAGCAATAGCATCACAATTCAAAAACTGTTTGTCTACATGCACAAGAAGGTAACAAACAAACTTCCTTTCTGTTACTTACCTTGGGCTATATCTAAACACTGCATGGAAAGCATCCAGTAATAATAGGCTGCATCGTTAAATCGGCTTTCAACCACAGCATTGTGTGTGAGCTGCTCCAGCACTCTCACAGCTTCGCTCTGCCTGCCAGCCTTGTGAAATGCTACAAAGAAGGCCAAAACAAAGGGGATTTTACAGTGCGATTATATCAATTAACGGAAATTAATGTTTTTAAATTAAGAGCAGTCTATTCAGCCAATATCAAATACTCCATCCAGGGCAGGATAAAAAGGATTATACACTAGTATTTTTCTCCTTGAAAGCAGTGACAGTAATGGAACGTGAGAAGCTTCTGTAGGTATTTTGTGGCTTTTGCACTGTCTCAGCAGCTCTTGAGCACAGAGGTTTTCTACAACACTGGTTGCTTTTATTTAAATACAGAAAAGAGCAAAAATGCTATGATTAGATCTCTGTAGAAACAACGGCAATCTCTAAACACTACAAATCACAACATCATTCAAAGAGTACAGTGTTTACTGTATCCTTCTCTTATTTATTAGGAGTATTTCTTTATTTGATGCTCAGAAGCCAGAATAAAGTAAGATCCTGAATTCTCACTTGGTAAACATGCATTTGGCAAACACAGTCTTCATATAGGGTAATGGGGATTGGGGGGAACCAACCCCAAAAAACCTCCATGCCACAGCACAGCTGCCTCGCGACTTCAGCTAGCTCAGAGATAACCAAACCCTCACGTAGCTACACAAAGGTCTCCAGCTCACCTAGTAGTTCTGGGACATTTATATTTGCTGAGCCACAGCAGCACAGGGCTTTGTGGAACAAACTGGGAACAATACTCCTGTATCCACAGAGTCCTACGTGCAAACCACCAAACTGCCCTAAAGCCAGGTGCTGAAAGGTTTGGTGCTGACACACACAAATTGGCTTTGTGTGGAGACAGATCACGCCTGGCATGTTCACTGGCTTGGCCCTTACAAGCACGAGCAGTTATACACTTGGATCTGAGCTGGCTCTGGAAACAGCAGATGAACAGTCACATGGAGCTGCACCTGAGAAGAGCGAGTGCAGTAGAAATGTGCTGGCTCCACACAGAGCTTGCTTCAACATCTCCTTGTCCCTGGAACAGTTTATGAATTCAATTTTGAAGCCTGTCCACATGATGGAAGGTTGACAGTTCTCTTTAAAGGTACTTTTATAAGCCTAACAAAATACAGGAAAATTCCTAAAGAAACAGGAAAATTTTACTTGTATAAACCAAACATTACCCAAACATAAGGTAAAACTATGCTTTCCACTCAGGCTTATAAGATGGCTGCAGTGTTTTGAATTCTATTGTGACAAAAATATTAATAAAGACAGTTCAGGTTAGATGCCAAACACTGCTGCCACACACCACATGCAGATATACAATATGATGGAAAATCTGGACCTGTATTTATATGCCATATTTTTTGACAGATCCATCACATTTTCTCATCAAATAAGAGGACTTCCGGCTACTTTAAGGCTGGTATGAAAACACAGATTCTATTTGGTTTTGAATCCCACTGATAAGAAAGTCTCCAGGGCAGAGACTGCATACTCTGTATTGGAAAAGTAGGGAGTAAATCTCGAGTGACCAGTGGTCTGTCAGTGACATTCTTACCTTTTTGGGCTTCTTCAAACCTATCATTCTCTGCTAGCCACTGAGCATAAGGGACATAGACATCATCTTTGAATTCAGGATGCTTTTCACTCAAAGCAAATGCCTGAGGTAAATTTAAAAAATTCATTTTTAGAATAGCGCATGGTCTAATCAGTTAAAGGGTTTAGAATATTCCATGGGATCAAGCCTTTAGCTCTAAATAAATTCACAATAAAAATACATGCACAGAATAGAGAGCATAATCCATATTTTCTCCAGTATGAAACCAATGTATTTTAAAATAAAAAGCAAACAACAACAAAAGAGAAGCTAAGCACAATAACAGTCTGGTTATTGAACAGAGAAACTTGAAAGTGATTATCTAGGAAATTTAGATTTCACAGCAAGAGACAAAAATACTTTTATTTTTACTGAATATATCTTCTAAAGAAATTGGCAGACCCATGTTTTTATGGGAAAACCCAGTGAAGTCAGAACTTTACCTAATCAGAAGCATAAATCCAGTTATAGAGTGGGGTCCACACTAACACAGCACACATGCATCAGATCTAAATTATGTGTATGGTATTCCTACTCAGGTGTGTCCAAATTGTAAATAACACAGCTCAAAACAGAATTTCCCATGATATAATTACTATTCTTCCTGATGGACTAGAAGCATCCCATGGACTACCATAGGAAGTGGGCAACTGTGACTCAACAAGCAAAAAAGGGGCTCAGAAGTGAGACCAAGAAATATTCAGCCAGCAAACAAAAACACAACAAAAAAAAGAAAATAAAACCTACCACCAAACAAACACTGAGCATACAAAATTAACTTAAATACTCTGAGTCACATTCTCCTTTCACTACAGCAGTGAGCAAGCCAGACATTTGTCTCCTTTTCTGGCAGAGACAATAAGAAGTAGTGGTTTTAAGCACAGACATCAAGGGCATGCTTACTTCTTCCCAGTGATGAGTCTCCACGTGGAGATGGACCAACGCTTTCAGGTCACCAACCTTCATGTAGGTTTCTGCTGCGTAGCCAGGGTTATCAAGTTTCTTAAAATAGAAGGCACATTTTGACAAAGGCTCACGCTCAGCTTTATCCAGTTTTCGAGCAATTTCAATTAACCTAGACACAGTAAAAAAAGGCCAGATGTTTCATGTTCTGCCTTGTTGTTTTGCCTTTTGTTTAATTAATGTAATAACTTCATCTTTAATCAGTTATTTAATAAATATCATAATAGTAGTACCATGTAACACTTAAATTGTTTACAGTAAACAAAATCCTTTTTTTTTCTTTCCTTTTACAAACTCGAAACCTGTTCCTTCAATCTTTACTCACATGTACAATTCCATATCTGACTCTTTGCACAGTCATGAAGATGGAGGGACGCAGTAGGTCCTACCTGACCAAGTGACACAGGACACACTTCCTCAACCCTGACCTGAACAAAAGCCTCCTGAATAAACATTACCCCATTTGCCACACAGCAAAACTGAGGCACAGGAAGGCTGAGTGACCTGTCCAACATCTTATGGCAACTCAGCAAATGACCCAAGATGTCACCTATTGCAAACCAAGGAGAATTTGAGCAGTGAAAGGAGTAGCCCCAGAATTTCTAGGGATTCTGTGCTCCAGTTGTCCTCACTACACACTGTATGATTATCCTTAACAGCTTAAAACAACAGGAACAGGCTGTCACATAAGCACTGCTGTGATGAGTGCTCTGAAAAGCTTCAGGCATGCGTATGTTAGAAGTTAAGTCTCATTCTACAGATGAACCCATGCATACTCATTACTGTTATAATGCATTTGTTTTCGTAACATATTTATGCCCCTACCCTCTAAACGTATGTAACTTTTAAAACATTTAATTGTACACAAGCTTCAAATACTCAACTTGATATAAGCAAAGTTACACATCAAACAAGTTTTGTCTTACTTTAAAATTATGCAGAATCCATAATAACTCATTTTCATTTTTATTATATATTATCTCCAAGATAGAACTAAAACCTACATATCCACCCAGCCATGGTCCCCACTGATTTCTATGGCCTTCATGTGCTCGCCCGCAGAGAGGTACATCTCCACTGCTGCTTTTGGTTCGTTGATATTCTTGGCCCAGTCTGCTTGTTTCTTTATTAGCATCTTGGTGTCTTTGGGGTCTCCAGATGCCAGAAAATCCTGGAATAGTGTGATACAAAAGTTTGCAATACCTTCTGGTCACAAACATTGTTACTGTCCAAATTCTAAAATACATACAGGCTTTTAAAATTAATATCGTTATGCCTCCTAAGAAAAGAAATACTGCCCGCAGAGCAACGTGAACTGACCCAGCCTTCAGCAACTAGCCAATGCCCAACATTTGATAGAAAACAATGGCAAGTCTCCCATTTAGATAGGGCTTTCAATTAAAAAAAACCAAAAAAAGTGTGAGATTCTGGGAGGACTAGGAGAAGGTTGATACAGATACCTCAGAGGTAATAAGTATGTCCCCGCTTGATTTCTTGCAAGCTTTGCCCTCTGTTGACCCTGTTTCAGTGGATACAAACCATGATTTCTGTGTGATTTTCAGGAACATGTGTTTCCAAAACAAAATCGTGCTAACATCAAAAACTGTAATAGATCAATTCCAAATTGCAGATTTTCTTTTGCAAGCCAAGAAGGTACAGTTGCATTTGCAAAGACGACCCAACCCCACCCCATGCTTTGTTAACAACAGTATACCCACTTAATCATATGTTAGCATCAGGATACCCAGACACAAATCAATTAAAGAGTGAAATTTAATTTTCCACCAAGACAGTTGATAATTATATTACAATATATCTAAGAAGTTCTTTTAGAAGGATGGAATGACAGCTGCTCAGAAGCAAGAGCACCTCTGAACTGGCTGGACTTCTGCAAGGAATGCAAACACCAAGCCTGGATGCTGCGATCATGACCATTTTGGAAATATTTCTGATAGTTTGGTCTTCTGCCAACACCAAGTCCTGGCACCATATGGTTCGCATCTGGTGACATCATGTGCCAGGAAAAAAAAAAAAAAACCAAACCAACAAACTACCTTGACACCAAAAGATCGATTAAGGGCAATTTTGTCTGTTACCAGAACAGGCTACTGTCCATTAAAGCAGCTATCAAATGAAAAATGAGAACAGAGAAGTGGAAAGGTGAGGAGAAAGTGGAAAATTACTTTGCAAAAAGTGGAAAATTACCTTATCCTCTGTATTTCTGGTAAATTCTGATTCAGGTTTGAAAAACCCAAAACAACAAGCAAGCAAAAACCCCCACAAAAAGCACCCACACAACAGAACTGTTCTGCTGCCACAGTTCAGCAGCTCCCCTGACGCAGCCAGCCGGCAGGTACAGCACTATACCCCATCTCTGTGTCAGCTCTTTAACGAGCTCCACGTGGGATTCTGCTCTAGCATGACCCACTCCACGCAGCCCTGGTTCAGGTGGATCGCTATAAAGATGTCATCATGATCTCTGAATATGAAAATCCACAGCGAAAGAATGAAGTTGAACAATATCTTTGACACAACTTGTTTTCTAGTTCAGGTCACCAAAATAAATCCAAAATCAAAAGCTCAGCTTCCTATAGCACAAAGAGTTTTTTGTGAGTTCTCAGTAATTTGTGATCTGGTGCTGTGATAAAAACCCTATGACCACATACCAAAGGACTTCCTGACCTCTGCCTCCAGCCTGGACTCTGTAGGCAGAGCTAATCAAAGTCAAGCACAAGAAACCAAGTTCTCCAAGGGTCCCTTTGCATAATTCTGACAGCATTAAAACAACAACAACAACAAAAAACCCAACACAAAAACACCCCACATCCCCCATATACCTTTCCTTGGAAAAACAAACAGGGTTCTACAAACAAAAGGGGTCTACACATTCTTCCATGTATTGTGCACCAGAAGCTTCATTCATATGCGATGAACTACCTTTAATTTCCTCTGCATGGAGTTACTCCCAAAGACAGGAGACGCAAGACCCTTTGCTCTTTGCTAGTTAAATATAGCCATGACTACAGCCAAGAATTAAAAGATTCTTATGAAGACTTATGGGAAAATTTTCATCTATGAATTACATTTATGTTCAAGAGGAGCCAAAACACTGAAGCTAACAAGACTCATCAGCCAAAAATAGTGGAAGTCAGACTTAGATCAGCAAAGCCCCAAAGTATTTATATTAAGCTCTTGGAAGAAAAAGATCTCTCTGTAGCACAGTTGGTGGAATCTGTGCTAAAGCATTTTACATGCATGTCATGGTACAGTCTTTGTCCTGTATTGGGCAGAACAAGGCTCTGATGAGTGATGAATGAGACTGAACAGTGCACGCATTCTCAGGGATTTTGATAAGAAAACACCACAGAAGACTTAAAAGCTAAGTAATGCTTTCTTACCAACATACAAACCTACCACTTTTTAAAACCATATTCCATTTATTTCTACATGGAAACAGAGTTTAAAAAAAAGAGCCAACACATTGAACCTTCAGAAGAAAATTCTCTAGTAAACAAAAATATACTAGGTTAGTATATTACACCCTTCATAAAATCATTAGTATTGAACTAACATACCTATTTAAGTTCAAACTCTGAAAGAAAAATATTTTCATTATAATACCGAAGTGAACTAAATGCGTGGTGCACTCACCTCCACTTCGCATGTGTACTAGCCATGTATGTGTGGAAGAGAACAAAAGAAAGGGACTCTTGAACGAGATAATGGGGAAGAAACAGTCATGAAGATGAGATTTGTAGGTTTTTAAAAAAGGAAAGTTACTATGGATAATACTACTTAATCACAATGAAAGGGTTGCCTTTGGTAGTGTCGAAAAAAAAATCCCCTGAAAAGCCATGCATTCCACAGACACGTTTGGGACTATACAAACACAACCTAGTACCCCAGCTGAAGAAAAAGGCTGCCATCACATCGGGACACAGAATGCAGCCATTCTTCCCCTTATAAGCCAAAACAACCTCAACCAATTAACTGAGAAAATAAGGTTGGAATTCAAAGCGCGCATTTCATCCAATCCTTTCGTAGGATCATACTTTGAACACAGTTACAGGTACACTAATATTTCTGCATGTAAATATTCAGTTGCAAGACACTACCTTTGCACAGTCAAACATGCGCAGATCAGAGTACATCTCGAGAGCTAGGTTCTCGTGGCCACTCTTTTTGTACAGTTTCGCTGCCTCATGGAATTTTCCCTGGTAGGCATAAACATCTGCTAGGAACAGTTCATTGTTGTTCTCTCCATGCTTCTTCCGCTCCTAGAAAAAAAACCCAAAGAGAGATGTAGAAAATATTCTAGATGAGCAGGACCTAGGTGAGAAATAGCCATTGAAGAATTAAATTTTCAGGCTTAGATTTTAACTGTTAATAAAAACCTCTAGCAGGATATGATAATTATGCCTCTCCTACATTTCTGGTGAATTTATAATTAAAGGATTAAATCCCTTCTTAATTAAAATTAGGAAGAGCAAAATTAAATGTCACTATACAAACCAAAGTAATGAAAAATCACTTCTCTTGATTTCACACAGGAACATGAACACACGCTGTCATTATGCTAAGCTATTTTAAAAAACGCATCTGGTGGGGTCCTTATTTTCTCCTGTAGAAACTCACTAGCATATAATTTGGCTAAATTAACAATATGTGCGGGTGGGATGACAAACATGACAATAATTGCTAGCAATAAGCAGATTCAGAGAGTATGTTAACTTGCCTCTGAACAAAAAAGCGCCGCCACCACTGTCCCCACACGCAAGAGCTCCTGATTTCAGGCAGGCAGAGAGCACCCGCACATCCTCCGCTGCTCACTGGCACTGCTCACCGGTGGCGTGGGAAGGGGCCAGACAGGCGATGCGTGCACAGCGCCACAGAGAAACCCTTCATGCCAGTCAGACCCGCAGAGGTACACTGACGCCAAGGGACCGGTGCCACGGATACACACACACATGTGCACACACGTGTGCATGAGTGTTCTGCTGTGGATCTTGGAAACACATTACTACCCTGCGTTGGATAAAATCACTACTACTATTAGCCCATCCCACATGGAAACATATAGATGTGAATCGCATTGCAATAAAACCTCATGAAACAGGGAAGAGCATTCCACAAGCACACAAATGTAATTCTCTGCTGCCAAAGGAGACTTAGCCCTCACTGCTTCTGGTCACACTTATTTACTAGGCTGATACTGCACTGGTGTTGAAAGGTCTCTTTAAAAACTTGGTCAAAAGAACAATCAGAGGAATTGTTACACCCTTTTTTAAAGACTTCACAGAATCTTGCCAGATATAGAGATCTGGCTGTTATGTTTCCTGCTGTCATCAATTAGAAAAAAAATTGTGTCATTACTGAGAGAAAACCATTACATTAATGGAATATGTGTGCTTATTGACACCCGTACAAGCCTTAAAAGGAATCTGATATACCACAAGAAAGAGTAAGCAATGATGTAGAACTTCCACTTCTGAAGGAACACTCTCAAGAAGTCTGAAAGCAAGTTTGCATCTATTTACAAAGGGAATCTTCCTCATTAAACAGAATATAACATAACTCCAGAATAGCCTCAACAGAGGCAGAGCTGGAGAAGCATGTGTGGAAAGGAAAGGGTAGTAGTGGTGAGAGAATGCTCTCATCTACCTATCTACCCTCTAAAGGGGAGAGGAAGGGGGAGTGTCCCAATGCAGAACTTTGTCCCATGTTAGACACCAAGAAAAGTCAACTGCAACCAACTGTCGTTTTGACAGAACCAGGACAGCTCTGCAGAAAGTGAAGACAAGGAATGTACTCCTTCAGAGCAGGTGTAAATCTAATTATTGTGAGAAGCAGGAATTCCCTTCATGCCATCTCAGCACGGATCTTTAGGCATTGTCATGAAGCCTTTGTAGGACAAGGGTGATGCCATGTCTTTTAATGTGCTCATGACAGTCATTGTCTAGTGAAATTCTATCAAGAAGTGTGAGAAGACTAAGAACTAGTGATTAGAGCACAGTATGAAAGCAAGGAATCCCAAATTCTATTTCCAGTTGTCACAAACTTCTCATGAGACCTTGAGTTTGTCATTTTACTTCTCTGGGCCTGTTTCTGGCTCTGCAAGAAGGAGATAATAGTAATTACCTACCTCCAGGGGGTAAGGAAAGGCTTAATTAACTCATGTTTATGAAGTCTTCGGTACTAAGCTCTGTCAGTACAGTAGTATTCTAACAATTATTAATTGAATATTAAATGTTTCTCCAGTTTTCCTGAAAACAGTTTCAGAAGTTCTCACTGTCCCACCCCCACATTTTTTTCCATGAAGTTTCAGTCTTATGACTAGAATTTGAGTCACCTCTGCTAATCAGGATCTTTCACTCTAAACACATCTACAACAGTCAGAAGCGCCATCGGAACAGAAGTGCCTCCCAAACAGAATGTACTGACTTTGGCACAGTACCAAGTGTAAGAAAATACATTAATGCTCTCTTACCTCTATGCTGCTGATTAATTCTAGATATCTAAGGTCTCGTACCCTGGTAAATGCCTATTGAAAAGGAAAAAAAAAGGAATAAAAGGAATTAACTTGAAAAGCCAGAAAAAAACCAGCAGAATATTGCTATGCATAAATCAAGCTGTCTTCATGCAAACAGGACAGACAGAAATATGCTGGGGTTTGTGTTTGGGCAGTCCCTGACCTGATGGGCTCTGACCACAACTGCAAATGCCATTTGAAATATTACATACTTTTATTCTGGCTATTTTACAGCTTTTCTATTTTGATGTGAGGCATGATACAGACAAGGAAGTTTAAAGAAATTATTACGAGGTCGAACATACAATTGATCACATTGCCAAAGCATACTGTGTATACTTCTAGGTTTTATACCACTCTGAGAATCCAGTATAGAAGTAGCTCCGAGAGAGGAAAGGAAGTAAGACGACGATAAGATAAAAGCACGGCAAGACAGTGTAATATCTTTTGCAAATGGAGATAAATGTGCAACCCAAAGTCTCAAGTGGCAGTCACATGCGAGTACAGCAGCTTAGCACTTGTTCTTGACATGCATCAAAAAATAGAAATTTAACTCTTTAGACTGCACATTCTAACCAAACCAGCGCTTAAGAGGGCATAGAATATTCTGCTTACACCAGATTGGACTAGGAACTATGAGAGCCTTTAATGTCAAGAAGCTGCTTTTGTTCAAATTAATCCGCTCTAATTCTAAGAGGGCACTACTTTAAAATTCCAAGGAGGCACTGAAAACTTCTTTTTAATAATATCTATTTGCATAAAGCTGTCTGTGAAACTGGAATTATTCTGGTGCCTCCACTTAAGAAAAAAAGAAAAATAAAGCATTTAATTTCCTTTTAAAAAAAATCTGTTATTAAAAGATGTCTATCATTAGAGGCCATTCCCTGCATATTTTTAGAATGTTTTGTCTTTCATACAATATTTATGACATCGAACTCAGTTCGCCCTCGCTTATTTGAGAAAAGGTGGTGAAAGAAAATAGGGAAGTATTTTATGCCAGAGAAAACTCCATTCTTCAGTATATGCCCACTCCCCAAACCAAGGCATTCCAGATAGAAAATGACTGAAACGATGGCATTCCATCACCACTGCCTTCAAGGAACATTAATGTGTAGATAGTAAAGAATATGAAACCTCCACGTCTGAACTGAGGTTATATTTAATACTATGGGGAAAAAATAAGAAGTTTATCGCATTGGGGAAGGGGAAAAGCAAAGCCAGCTGAGGCATTCTTTGCTGCCACCCGGTGTTCAGCAGCACCAGTGAACCACTTCCCAGTTCTATTTCCCTCAAATTCATTAATGCCTTTCCAGCAGATGAAAGAAACCATTCCCTTTGCACTTAACACTTTGATTTAGACTGTGGCATTTATCTAGAGAGATAAATTCGATTTCAGTTTAAAAACCTCACCTCAAGATCCTGGGTAGATAACAAATCAACACTGTCTTTGGTATGTGGAGTAACACACACTAAAGAGAAGCAAGATAGTAACCCAGGGACACCACTTTGTACTCCAGACATAAAACACACACACACACACATATATATAGCGTGTGCATGTAATGTATAAATATATAAATATAGATATATAAATAAAACAATCTTTCTGATAAATAAGTAAACAACTGCTTTACCTTTTTAGCGGTTTCAAACTCCAGCCCTTCTAAGGCTTCCATGGCCAGTTCTTTCCAGTCCGTTTCAGTTACTCCTAAACACGCAATCTGATAGGCTTCTTTGAACATTTTTCGTTCCAGATATTGGTACATGGGTGCAGACTGAGGATTTCCATTGAAAAACATGTTATTAGAAAGCATAATACTGAAATATATTAGTGAAATTCTCTACATAAATTGGGGGGAGTGGGGGGGGAATACATTCCAACCACAACCATTATAAACTCCACAGAGAATAAATGTATGTTTTTTACATAATAGACAGAACAACATTCTGGGGTGTTTATTATTTTATCTTGGACAAGCTGGGTTAATTATATTGCAAACTCATCCATCTTGAAATCATCAGTTTCCTGCATATTAGGAAGTAAAGACTGTGAATTCTTCTGAGCATTGTACACGCTGAATGTTATGTACATTGAGCCAATCGATGAGTTCTGTGTTGTTTTTTTTTTAATACCATGAAAGCAGAGCAAAGGAGGAGGTAGTTTGTTCTCAAAGGCTAAAAGCATTAAAGTGCCAGCACAGCCCAGTGTGAAGCATCCCTGGAAATACCCAGACACAACAGAGAGAGGCATCACGAGGAAGTAACTCTTCTTGCCAACCCCGATGACAAAGCTGTTTTACCAAGACTGCGACTATTAAGCCCAAAAGACACTGACCTCAAGGACCTGCCCTAAAAGGGAATTAAAAAGAGAAACTGTCAACTACAGGCTGACACAAATAGACAAAAGGCTCAGGATCTGCAGCAACAACTCGAACCCTTTGAGCAAACAGGGAGCACTGCAGCTAGATCACCCTTAATTCTGGGCTTGCAACCAAAGACAGTATGCAGACTGATTCCTAGGTTATTTTTATCAATTGATCTGAAAATCATATACTTTTTTGTACTCCCTCCCACCAAAAGGGTAGCTTGGAAAAAGCTCCCTCTGTGATACTTCACAGTAATTTCGTGGAGTGTTGGTGCCTACAGCCTGCCACAGACAGACAAAGGGTGTACGAGACCTGGCCGATCTCAGGGCTGTCACCCGCACGGGGCACCCTGAGCCCAGTGAGGACAATGCCGCAGAGGAACACACGGGGCTGTAACACAGGGCTCCACTAGTTAATTAAAGCACACAGCACTTCTGCCTTCTTCACTGACTCTTGGATTCAAATCCTGACCATGCTCGGGTGCGTAAGCCAGAATTGGGTTAGGCTTTTTTTTCTCCCTTTTCTCTTTTTGTTTTGTTTCTTGGACCATTTTAGACACTTCCATTGCTTCCCAAAATGCAGAAAACAGCATTTTGTGAAAGGCAATCTCTAAATTTAGAATATAAAGACTGCCCATGTAACATTCGGACTAAAATATACAGTTTAAATATTGCTTAAACACATCTTGATGGAGCAACAATAAGACAGTATTTGATGTACTCCTAAGGAAAATTAAATTACAACTTCAGAAAAGCTACACAGAGAGACTACAGTAAAAACACAGGAAGAGGTAATACCCCCATCATATCTCTTTGCTTCTAGATTATGTGCATTTGCAAGTAGAAAGGAAGAATTAGGAACAACAATCAAAAACAGCAAAAAGGAAGTTAAATTAATTAATGCCAAATAAACAAAAATAAAATAGATCATGCAATATAACTTAAATAACAATGAAGAAAGTGTGAACTGCAATCATTTTGGTAATGGAATATGGGTAAATTTCAGAAAAGCTTCTTCTTAAACATTGATGTTTATGAAATGTAAAGCAACACTTAATGAGATTAAAGGATTACCTGCGGAACTTCAACAGCTGACATAGAAAAAACATGAAGACAGAAGATCTTGGAGCCGTTGTAACCCACAACAAAGCCTTGAAGTTTTTGCTGGTGGACAGGGAAGTTACTAGCTTTGATATTGAGGTAACCCCCTCCCGAGAAGCAAAGCATATCCTCGCACTGTGTGTTCCAAGCCACGCTATTAGCATTGGGTTCCTAACAAGCAAAATAACTGATATCACAACAGACACAATCACATCATCTTCCCTGAGAAATACGAGTCCTTCAACTAGAACATTTTACCCGTTATAGCCTGTGTGCACACACACAGATTTATTGTTTACATTTGTAATATTCTAAAGCCCAGTATATTCCTACAGAGATTTACAGGGACATATTTTACATTTCAATAAACAGCTGTAATTGTCTTTGTTTCGTATTTAATGATCTATACTATCAAACTGTAGAACATAATAGAAAATTTCACAATAGTTAGCTAACATTTAACTGCTCACTTTTCTGCCCTTACCAAAAAGGGACATTATAGACCCTGTCTTTGTAGCACTTCACTTTCTATCCAGTGTTCTCTGAAAACGTTTCATCAACATTAATGAGTAAACCCTTCGAGTGACTGCTAAACTGCCAATGAAGAGAGAATTATCATTCCTCATTTTATAGTCTGGGAATACACAACGCACAAAGAAGTTTAGGCTTTAATTCTGTTCGTACTAATGATAAATGCTCATTAACTGTAATGCTTCAAAGGGAACCAGGACAGAGCTCTAAATTAAACTGAAAAGGTCACATTTAAGTGTTCTTTATTCAGCTGTTGCTCACATGTATTTCCTGTCTTCCAATCCCTTGACTACCATCTCCAAAAGGGTAGTTCAAATAGAGAAATACATCACAGGGAAATCCTACAAAACGTGATTAATGGCTAAAATGACAGATACACGAATTGCTGTACAGCAACACTTGGTATGCTGTGTGCTTCAAATCACTTCTTGCCCCCCCCCTTCATTTTTAAAAATACTTTGACTTTTACCTGAAACAACAGCTCTTTGGTATGAATATCATACACTAGGCAGGTATCGTTTTCATCAACCACTGCCAGCTTGTTTCGGGATGCACTCATATCCAGACAGCGCACAGCTGTGGATTGCTTCAACAGGACGATTGCAAAGACATTATCGACAAATATCTTCAGAATCTAGACATATTTAAACCAAAGTCAGTCCATCCATTTTTTCCCTTAAATCTAGAACTAGCACAGCAGAAACTTTAATGCTGTTTAAAGCATGCAACCGCAATTTTTTTTCAGAGACAAACTGTGCATTAGAATTAAGGAAATGCTTTCAGTTTGAGATATCTTGGAAAGACTTGTTTCTGCAACACACTCTATGTGGCAAGCCTATACAAATAAAACCCATCAGCTATACATCCTGGATTTTTTAATGCTCCACTGGTTAAACTATTCCATTAATACTACAGGAATACATAGCATAGATACAGAAGACACAAAGGATCTCAACTTCTTCGCTATATCAGTACCTCTGGGCTCTAGTTTGAAATTTTCAGCTGCTAACTGGCTTGTGACATAAACAGCAATTTCATCTCTAGATCATCCACACCTTCACAGCAGGTCACCAGAAGAAGTGTACGCACACCAAGCAAATGTTCTGTCAGTTCACCAAGAACCTGATTTTTGTAAATTGCTCCCAACAACCTATGGACTTTAGACAAAGTTAAACATGTTTGTATGAATTTTACAGCCAGAGAACATGAAAGATAGAAGTAATCAGGTTTTAATCACAAGATGAGATTCTGTCAAATTAAATTCTGGCTTGTAAAAGAGTACGCTGCTCCTAAGGTCTCCCCCTAAGAGCACAAACCAGGTTGTGTTTGCAGTGAAAAATCACATACCAGACATGATGTGTTGTTACCTGACCATTCTTTAGACCAACTAAGAGGCCTTCTCTTCCTGGAGGTCCTCCAATTACTTTAATATAACGAATAAGAGATTCCATCAGCCATTCTCGTTCTTTAACACCACTAAATGAGAGGCACTGCAATCTTTTCTCCTAAAAGGTACAACAACACACAAAATACTGCAAGGAGGTAAAGATAACACCACTGTCTTTGATGTGCTGTGTTTATACCGACATTAGCACGTGCGCCTACTTCTACATATAAATATCATAAAGTCAGTCAATTTAACAGGGCAAATTCTTTAAGGCTTTCCAATGCTATGAACAAACAAAAACCCCTCACCTTTTTCTAAAATTTCACCCCCACCCCAGAGCTCCCCTGGATTATGTGCTAATTTATCAAAATCATTACAGAGACTGTTTTACTGAGCCACCTGTGGCATGCCACAGCTCTTGTTTAGAAGTACATCAGCACTGCACATTACAACAGCACTGCTCATTGGTACCTTGGGGAAAAACTGCAACAGATTATACAGCACAATGTTTTCCAACCAGCCCCAAGACTACTCGAGCTATTGAGGCACATACCTGGCATAAAATAATGTGTTCTGAACATACAACCAGCAAATTGCATTCAAATTTTTTTACTATCTTCTCCTTCACCCGATAATACATATCTGAAGAATCATCCGAGTATAACTCGTAAATCAAGATTTTCTCTGGCATCTGGATTGCTAATCTGTTTTTGTAGATTGCAATTTTCTTTACAAGCTCTCTGCCTTTTATTCTAACTAGAGAGAAAAAAAACACACAAAAACAACACAGTACAGGCTGACACAAAAATAACAGATACAGAAATCAGAAAACTTACTAATACATTGAAATTGAATCTTTCTGAAGCACCTCTAAAATTAAAAGCAGATTCCTCTTCGGATATGTTTGTTGTTCTCCATCTATGTAATCTACTATCCCTGTCACAATTTATCACCCTCTATTATTTGTCAACAGCACATTTTGGAGCAATACTTTGATTCCTTGCCATAAAAAGCCAGTGGATACGAACTGACAAAATCAGCACAAACCCTTGAGGCTGCAACTAAGGGGAAAAAAAAGCTAAATATGAAGTACAGTATTTTTATCTCATTCGCAGAGATTAAAACCTTATCTTAAAAGCCTCTGCCCCTCCCAATGTCCTTTCAAATCCCCACATCCTTCATTAAGCTTGTCAGTGCTGATCCTCTAGAATCCAAGTTTGCACTCTCATCCTGCAAACAGCACTCCTCAGTTTCACTGTCAAAGTGACAAGAATCTCTCTGGTACATGCAGTATATAATATCCATCAGAACACTCGGAATAATAATTTAAAAACACCAAAACAAAACAGAACGAGAGTGACGCTTTGGCCCGACTGCAAGTGTGAAATTACCTTTTTGTTCAGTAATGAGGTGTTGGACAATAACATCAGTCATGCTGTCTCTGTAAGCATAACGATCTTTGTAAAGGCCATGAACAGTGCTGAAAATCAACTGATAAAAGGATATTGTTCCATCTTGGCATCCTACTGCCTGAACAAAAGAAGAAAATTATTTTATCAATTGGTGCATGTAGGTGAGAATTGCCAGAATGTGTAGTATTTATATGAACATCATGTTTTTGTCCTGCATAATGTATAGATTGATACCAACTAAGCCTACTTCTACTTGAACAGCGGCAAAAGTGCAATGCAAAATGAGGACTGATCTCACCATAGACCACCCAGACCACCATGTTGGGTGGATGGGGTTTGGTTTGGTTTGATTTTGTTGTGGTGGTTTGTTTTTGGGTGGGGATGGGGGGGAGGCAAGGCGTGTGTTTGTTTTCACATTCACTCTACCTCTTTACATTTGTACAGCGACACAGAGTACAGCAATATGGCTAACAGTTGCCTTGTAGGCATTTTCCACAAGGTGTAATGCTAGAAACTCAATCAGAACACATTCTTCCCATTAGATTTGGTCAGCCTAGAAGTTATTAGCTGCAATTGTTCTTCTTTTCCCTCTTCTTTTTTTAATCAAAATGCAACAAACGTCTTACCATCTGAAAGCAGGTGTTACGCTCATTTCCAGCTTTCTTGCAGCCCAACTTTTACTTCTGCAGGGTATTTTTAACTTCAGTGGTAGTTACAGGACCTCACTAGACACTGCTTAGGTTCTGCTGCCTCAGTAAGGATGTCTAGACTAAGCAACTGAGTTTGGAATTTATGATCTTTCCTTATATGACAAATTGTCTCTGCAAATGGCAGAGAAACATCCCTACTCACCACATAGTTGGAGTCTGGTTTAGCTTTGCATGTCCACACCCAACTGCTTGGCTCTCCTATGGTACCAAGACGCACGCCATCCTTCGTGAAGAGGGAAACTTGTTTATCCGAACCTCCCAGTAAAATATACTCTCCTTTAGTAAAATAGCTAACACAGCAAGGGTCAAAATTGAGCATTCTGTCCTTCCCAATCTGCAAGGGGAAATAAAAAAAAAGCCACCAAAAAACATTAAAAAAGGATCATTTCATGTTTTCCCAAGGCAACAAGTGCTGTCGCTGATACCATTCCTCTCATCTCTCTGGCCACGCACAATTTTTCAATACCCTAGAACCACTGCCTATATTGAGATTCCCAAAGGCAGTTCTACAATACATCCAAGAATCCCTCCAGTCCCAAACCAGTCTACTCAGAATGCAAGCAACTCACAAAACCCCCTTTAACTGGTGGAAAAAAAATACAAAGATGTCCTCTACAGACCAGGAAACCATATCAAAAAAGACAGCAAAGTGGTAAGGACTTTAATACAGGAATTGTAAGACAGCAGCTGAGTTGCCATGGGAGAAATAAGAGTCGAAGGAAAAGATGGTTAAATAAAAGCAGACTCTTAAAAGGCTGGGAAAACAGAAAACATTTCATGTAGCTAACAAAGCACTTGCACACCCTTTGAATACAGGACACAAAACACAATCAGAAGTGACCTGCTGCTCTTGAATGCGCTTTCTAAAACATACCTGCTTGCCGCTAAGCTGGTAAAATGAAAGCCTCTGGCCCCAGTCTGCCACAGCTAAGATATCATTGCGTTCCTCTCTAACAAACAAAAAAAAAAAGTAGTAATTCTACAGCAATTTATTAATAAATTTCTTAAAGCAATAGAGCAAGTAATAGGATAGCAGGATATACTTCATATTACTGTTTAAAAACCCACAAACTGAAAGGACAGCAGATGTACCTCACCATTTAAAACTGAGGAAGACGGCCTGGGGACACAAAAGAAAAATCAGTCTCCTTTACTAGAATAATCCCAAAGCTTGATGTATCACTTCACATACAGCTACACAGGCAGTGGTACAGTGAAGTTAATGGTCCCTTAAACTGATGAAGCACCTGGGCCCAGGTTCTGATCTTAGCTACAGTAGTACAAAGCCACCGTAACACCAAAGTCAATACAGCTGGGCAGGAGTGAACTACAGTTATCAGTGTAAGCCGGGGGGGGGGGGGGGAAAAAAAAAGACCAGCAGCAAACCAAGGAAAGGCTTCAGGTCTCAAATTGTTTAACTTTGGTACTCTGACATGATCTGTTCAGCTTGGAGCAAACCATGAGAGTCACCTTTTCCACAGCTTCTCACCTAGGAAGAAGGGAGATGGTAATCTGGACATTGTGCTGCAAATAATGCCTCTAGCCATAAGCTGAACAAAGAGGAAACAGGCAAAAAACCAAATGAAAAGCCAACTGTTCAGTTAGCACCCTCCCTTTGCTCAATGCATGATGCATGCACTTGTGGGGAAGAGCAACATGTTATCACACACTGAAGAACTACTGCAAACCGAACACATACTAGCAGAATAAATTAAAACCATACAGGCAACTGTTCATCTAGAATTTCCAAATTTTTGAATGTCTGATTTTGTACCCTGCATAGTGCTCTCTGCCCTTGGTACTTGTCAAAACTTACTGTTCTAGATTATATAGGTACGTATGTTCCTTTGAAGTTTCACTCACAAATTCATAGAGGTCTCCTCCTCCTCCTGGTCTCCCTCTGTCTCACTATCCTGCCTACTGCCAGGCCTGGACTCCAGTACTGGTAACTCCTCTAAAGAGCCGTGAACTGACTCCTCTTGTTCATTTGCTCTCTTCCAAAAATTCTCCCACCAACTGCAATAGCAATTGTTTATTCACATATTTGGAACAATATTCTCTCTGAATTGAAGGGAAAACCACCAGTTCCCCTCTCTCTCCCCCAATCCAAACAGACACACCCCCCCCCTCAAAAAGAGAAAACAAACACAAAAGAAATGTTTTTTGACATCTAAGTGGAACTTGTTCCCAGTTTCTCCATTCACTTAAAGACTGGCAGCAAAGCCAAAACCCCAGTACATAATCACGCAAAAAAGGTAAGGTGCATGGCATTACTCTCTTTCAGCAGGGATAAAAGTCAAGCCTTTCTGCCATCAATAAACCAAGGATTATCTATTCAGCATGAAAAAAGGAAGGATGAAATTATTTACCTGGATGGATTCCAACAAATTGACCATATTGGAGATGAAGCACCCCCTGTACGCTCTATTTTAACCTTCTCATCACCATTTTTATTCCTTATGCTGACAATGCCGTTGAACATCCCCAGAGCAAGGTACTGGCCATCATTTGTCCAGCTGATAAAACACACACATACTGAAGAGCAAACTACTAAAAACAAGCAGCAGGAAGGTAGGATGGTACAGCATACTCAAACAGGGAAGATAGATTGAAATACACTTCTAAGAGGCAGTACTGGGAGGTAGCCAGTAATCCTACAGTTTGTTTATGCATCTAAATCCACATTTATGGTAACAGCATGCACTAGAGCAAGAACATTTTATAACATACATAGAAATAAAACAAATGTAGGGATGAAAAAAAATAAAGTTATCATCTGCTTGCAATATTTCTAAAATGCGCTAAGTAACAGATACATTTTTGGAGATTACAGTGCTGGCAGCAGACCAGACTGTTTTAAAAACCATATTTAGAACACAGGTCAGATAAAACTGCATGGTGCAGGACAGAGGAGACCTGGTTTCTGTTCTTGTCTCTGCTGTAGTTAGACGGATGACTTTACACAAATTAGTGGACCCTTGCTTCAGGTTCCCCATACTGGTACTATCTCCTTCTACAGAAAATAGCAAAAACGTAGGAGATGAACAGCTCTACAAACAAAAAGTGTAATTATTTTTCCCCTAACTTCGTTTTACTGTTATTGCACAAGATGGCTAAATAGAGGGAGAGAGAAGGTAAGACACTTGCTCAAGACCAGAATACCTCTTTGACACTTTCAGAAGAATTCCATTATAAACAGTACCAAACAAAAGCCAAAACCTTTTGTTATTAAAAAAAAAAGGTCTCTCCAAGACTACTCAAGAAAGAACAAACCATCTTTCACCAATACTAGCCATATTCCTACTGGAGCATTACAAATGCTGCTCAGGTGTTTTAATGGCAAGAACAGCAAAGCAGCACGAAGGACACAGTGCTGCTGAACAGCAAAGCAGGAGAGCCCGTCTCGTACTGCTTGGTAGTGTCTCTGCTTATGTTGAACTGTTTCACTGGAACCCTTTTTTCTTTAAGCTTGCATATTATTCTGAATTGTTTGTATTGAAACCAACTTAAATGACACAGGTAATCCTTAAAACTTACCTACAGCAAGTAATCTTACTGCTAGCTTTATGTTTAGTGACCGACTTCTGTTCGGGAGACCACAAGCCTGGATTAAAGCAAACAAAAAGCCAAAGTAAATTACAAGTAAGCATTTACCAGTGTCCAGATTAGAAACTAATATTGTCAGAAAACTCAGCTGGGACTTCACAGGGATCAAAGTCTCATCCACTGCTAGAAGGACATTTACGTACATATTATTTATCAGCAAATGGGAAAAAAAATCCATCTAAATAACACAGAGGGTGTCTCTGCAAAAAACTGTAGTAACAGAGTAGTATATTTTACCCAGTGGCACCTCACTACACTGTTATTTCCAACAAGTTTAAGTGATTTAAGTAAGTCTCTAATGCTACTGAACTTCAGGTAGCCTTGTACCTCATCTTTCCTAGATAGACAGAACTGTACCTATCTGTAGTTAGCTGAGCTATACAACTTGATTAATAGAATTTCATGGCTTAATGTCAGAGGAAGAAGACATACCAAAATCACTGGACGAGCAGGATGCCAACTGATGAGTAAGAGGATTGTATGAAACACACTGTATAGAGTCATTATGCCTAGAAAGAAGTTACAATCATATTTCAGTAAATGATTCTTAAATGCCTCCTTTTCTGACTTTCAGCAAGATAGCTGAAAGACTTCCCAGATGCCAGAAATAATTTGATCAAGTTTATATTACATCAAATTAATCTGCAATTACTGTAAACTAAATCAGCTATAAAACTTAAAAAAAAAACTCTGTAACTGCCAGGATTCACTGTATTTCATCAAGATTAGCTAAAATGTACGGAGATGGTGGTTGGTGAAATATGATGAAAGGTTATATCCAAACTGTAAACCAAGTATGCTTGTGTGTGCTCCTGGCAGTACACTAGCTGGTGCATACTAACTAGTAATAAACGTACACACACATTCAGACACAGAATTTGAAGATGTCACTTAAGAGGGATGACATAAAAACAAAGCCAGAGAAAGATGGAAATATACCAAAAGTACCAAACATTATCTTTAATTTGGTCTTCGAACCAGAACTATATTGTTTATTTTACAAGACTGGGGTTATATTCTGTTTCATTTTCTTTTGATCTATACAGAGTTTCCCCAGTTCTCTGCCAGCCCTCTAAATTCAGTGATTTATCTAGACTTCCCATCCTCTTTCAAACCTCTAATTGCTTTCCTGCCTCATTCAGATACTTCAACTGTTCTTTTCCTCTTCCCTCTCCTATTACCCACTCACTAGCATTTTCTCTGACCTTAGTCAACCTTCTTCCAAATCTAGCGGCACATACTCTTTGACAGCAGAAGTGCATAATCAAAGTCCGCTTTGAGAGGCACGGAATTGAAAGGCATCACTTACGTGTATTTCAGAATTCCTTCTAACTTTGAAGTCCAAATTATCACACTTTTATCAGCAGAGCCAGATGCGAAACGTTTGCCTAGGAATTAAATGTAATTATAGCCCACACACACAAGAATCACTTTAACCCCAAATACTCAATCAAAGAGAGACCAAGAAGTTCTTGAACTTGACAAGGCTCCAGTAATAAAGGGCCTAACGCTGCAAGTGTCTTGATGTGACTGTGCTTCTCCAGCTACATGAAACCCCGATGACTTTATTTTGTTGTTCCCACAGAGAGCGCCTCATTAAAGCCCAGCCATGCAAGCGAGTAGCCAGGCTTTGCAATGCTGCCAGGCACAGGCTGGAGATTTACGTTAACAGTGTCAAGGGAAAAATGGGACATTTTCACAGGTACTGCCTATAACTTAAACAGTAGCATCTGCGAGTAAGTCGTCCTTTGAATCCCCACACAGTAAGTCCCCACAGAAAGAGAATCAGAAACAATGAAAGAACTGCGAGCAGAATAAGGTCTGTGGTGAGGACGGTAATGTGTGAAGGATCAGAAGATGGGGAAGCTTTGGGATAGAGGAACTACAGGAATAAAAAACTGAGGCAGGCGGAGTATTAGGAAGAGGGATCCCTGGGGTAAGCCTTCTCCTTACATCACCACACACATACAAACTTACCCATCACTGAAGGAGAAGGGGAGCGGAAGGGGGGACCACAGTTCTGGGATTAACAGGTGTACATGTACAAGTACAGGACTGCTGCGTGCAGCATTTGTACAGCAGTTCAAACTCTCAGTTCAAACAAACAAACAAACACACACCAGCACTCCCACATGTTCAAAACACTGTTACTGAAACAACCCTGATTTCTCCATTTATCAATAGGCAATAAGAAATAATAAAGCCCCCCAAGCGATATTTACCATCTTTAGCATAAGCCACACAGTATACCGTGTCCTTATGTCCTTTCAAAGGCTGAATTAAGGTTCCATCAGAAGTATCATATACCTGTTTAAACAGGGGGAAGACAAAAACAGACACAAAAAGAAGAAAACATACATAAAAATCTTCCAGTGAGGACTATGATATAAAATTACTGAAGGCCAACAAGCTTATATATTTTCTTCTGTGTTTGCTTTTTTTGCAAAGCATGCAGTCCATGCCAGACAAAACATTTTAAAGCGTAGAAGCAGCTTTCCTTTATGTAATATTTCTCAGAACGAAAGAAGACTCAGCATTAGAAAACTACACACACAAAAGAAATCTCCAAACAGCTCATTTGGCCAGCTTGTTTTACTTCTTTCCCCTGCGTTAGATGTTTAAATATAATAAATTACTGGAAAGATCGATCACCAAATATACTGTTCTGCAAGCACTGAAAATAACACAGCCTGCTGTCCTGCAGTTCTGAATGACATCTCTACAATCCTGTGACCCATCCATCCCCGCAGTTTCCACACCTGCCCCATCTGGAAGCTCTGCAGGAACTGTGACAAACATGGTCTTGAGCTGCTCTTGGTGATGGGTTAGCAGCAAGTGGACCCAGGGAACTGCAAAAAGTTATAGCTGAAGCTTCTCACAAAGTAGGGACACACAAGGATTTGAGTTTCTTTCTCCTTTTCACAGAGATTTGCATGAAACTTTTAACAATGCAGTATTTGTATGCCATGCCATGGGGCTCAGTTTGGATGCAGGTTAATGGATTTCAAACGACAGGGTGAGGTGCTAGAGGACGAGATGGCACAAGTAACTTAAATCTCATTACTTTTGGAAACAGAGCTTAAAACTTGGTAAGAAACATTAAAAAGCTTCAAAACACTTTGCAGTTAGCCTGCATTAATATGTATGCGGATATGATGCTGGACTAGCAGAGATAAGAGGATTTTTGATAGGCTATATTCATAAGTTAATGTGAAAGAAATCATATTCATACAGCTGTAAATGCAAGAGGAAAAAAACCTTCCCCTCCCAGCAGCCTATTTCCAGCAGCAATTATCAATTGAGTCCCATCCGGTTTGAACGCAAGATCATAAATACTAAAAAATAAAAATAAAAAACCCTAAGAAAACCCCATATTAGTAGGCAGAAAATATATTTCCTTTAACGTCAAAGATACCACATAACAAAAATAGTACAGGCACACTTGAGAGTGTCTCCGATCCCTGAGAAAATTCCCCAAATAAAAAG